CACAAAATGTTAATCATTTGATCCCTTGTATTTTTTAATTCATCCTATGATTGCGTGTCCTTCACGATCACCAATAATCAAAAAGGACGGAGACAATCTGCAATATTAAAGGTTTTTTTTATATTTCAATCTTGAATTCAAAAAAAAGTGGAACCTATTCTACACCCTAAATTTCTACTTAAATTGGTGCTTATTGATTAGCTAATTAAGCATACTTAATTAACTCCGATCGCATCAAAAAATGGCCTGAATACAATTTAATAGATGCTATTGTATCCCTGAAATTATTGAAACAATATAATAATCAGAACTTATTTAAAATTAAAGCTAAATCATTAGCAAAAAAAACGACAGAACTTTTTGATACCCCTAATAATACAAAATAAACCATCTAAGTGTGTATCTAATCGTGAAGCTTAATGAAGAGAAAATATAATTAAAATGTTTTTTTGTAACACATTTGATTCTCACACAGGCCTTTAAAAACATTGTATCATTAGATTTCAATAGCTTTCAGAATAATTGCAATTTTCTATTTCTTATTGTATCTTTTGAACATCAAAACATTAAGATTTCAATATTTACTGAAAGATACCTACGAATGTCTTAATAGTTTTTGTTGTGATAATGCATTTGTGTTTCTATTTGATTTGCATTTTATGAATATTAAAGTTTCAATAAATCAATAGGAATATTTATTTTTTCATTCTATCAGAACTCACGTTTCAAATATTGAAAAACATTTGTTCGAAAGAAATGAATCTTTTTTGTCTCCCGATCTGAACTTTACACTAATGGAATGACATTTTCTTATCATATTAAATTTCTGCAAATATGTTGAACATTTCATCCAGATCAAAAGGATCATCATTTAAAATAGTTACAAAGATTTGATGAGATGAAACTTATTCAACGTACACCATATAAATTATGTGAACTTGAGCTTATTGAATGATCATAGACTTATGTTATGAATATGGATTTTCAATTCAAAATTGGCTTTGTTGAGCGAGGTCCAACTGCAATTTTTGATCCTATTAGGAATAAATTTACTGGTCCAATTGGTCATTACTTAAATGCACAAATAGGACGCTACAGCTCCATTAATTACACTCTTACTGTCTTCAATGAAACTTTTGGAGGTTGTGATTCCGTTAATTGTACTGGCCTTATTGGACACATTCAACGAGGTGATGTTGATTTTGGTGAGAGATTATATTCATTCACATCTATTCCTGATTCAATTATTGGACTTAAACCAGGACCAGCATCAGCTGATGTCGCTTGTAGCATTGTTTCATTTTTACCCGAAGTCGGAACAATGCGTGAAGATGTTTTCAAATCCCTATCGATATTCACCTTAGACGCAATCATATTCTTAGCTTTCCTTTTTCTGTTTCTTTTTTCAATCCCTTTCCTTCTGTGGTACTTCAATCGGAAATCTTTCAACATTAAAACCAACTCTCCACCAATCATCTGGCCTTTGATTTGTGCAATTTTAAACCAAGGATCAAATCTCAAAACTCTTTTCAACCGTCAATCTTTGTCATTCATTTGGATGTCAATCACATTAACAATATTTTTCATGACAGCACTTTATTCTAGTTCCTTCACTACAGATCTTACATCTAAAGCACCCATGAAAATGATTGATTCACTTGAAGATGTTGCAGATTCTGATAGAATCCCGATGTTTATGGAAGAGCCATTATGCAGAGTCGTGGCAAATAGCAGTTCTCCTCGAGCTCAGCGAGAGATTGCAAGACGAGGACTGTACAAAACAACAGGAAAACTATTGCAGGCATTTTATGATGGAGCGAAATTAGAAAACTATGTTTTTATTGTTGATTTTCATGAACGTAATATGGCTCGTCTAGGCTATTGTGTATACAATCCAGGTTTACCTATGCTACAATGGCATCAAGCAACTGGTTCTTTCCCCGTCGATCTACTTTTTACTGTAATGCACTCGCAGCTATCTCCTCATGCCACCAAAATTATCGACCTATTGCATCAAAAACAATTTGAAAGTCATATCCTGTTTCATTTAGTAGATAAATGGAAAGCATATGTTGAAAACGTAATAGATCCTGAGCGAAAGTTTGGCTGTTTACATAAAACCTCCATCAGTCCCACTCCTGCTTTGAATCGTTTTAATCAACTACACATTCAAAATTACAAGCTATCCTTTAAATACTTCTTATGCATGATTTCAACTTGTATACTCAGCTTGCTTGGTGAATATTTATATGCCGAGATAAACTCGGTAATGTCAAAATAAATTTATAAACGCGACATTAGTTTGAAAGTAGATTTTATCATTTCAATAAAGATTAAAATACTAAAACTCAATCTACTTTTTTTTAAATATTAATAGATTCAGCCTACCAATCTATGAATACCAGAATTGTTCAGGGTCCTTTGAAAAATCATGCAGACTATATGAATTGTTGAAAAATTTACTTACGGGTTCATTGATGAAGTGAAACTCTTTGATTTTGAATATCTCATATTGACATCAACGGGCCTATTGCTTTTCTAACCACAGAGACCTGCCAGTAATTTAGATTAAATTTTTCAATGGTCCCATTTGAAAAAGGGTAAAATTTTGTTTAGATTTCACCAAATTTCGAGGCGATTTTTTAGCTATAATTAACTTGATTCAACTTTCTTTCGTGAAATATCAATCCGAAAACTCGCGCAACATTTTTAGATTAAATTTACCCGATTAAGAAAAATTGAAAATCATAAATTATGCTGCTCGACAAAAAGTGTAAATAAGCTATTTCAAGTGGATCTAAATTAGCGGTAGGTCTCTGTATTAATAAACTAGCTGCTGAGAACTCAATCCGTTGGTTACAAAGATTGAAGTCGTAACTCACAATTTCAGATTGAGGTCTTTTAAGTATTTAAACACGTGATTTCGGGGATTTTCAAGATTTTTATGAAATTGTAGTATTTCTGAGTTAGTTTATTTTGTTTTTTCAGATAAAATGATAAAATAGCTCCCCATAGAGATTTCACCTTTGAAATCATGAAGATTAGACACCGAAGTCAGTCGATTGAAAGCCGACTGAGCGCCAGTCGTTTGAGCTATCGACTAAGTCGACTGAGTCGACGAAAAGTTTGTTTTTGTAAACATTTTTTGAAAAAAACGTTTATTTCAGATAGTTTTCAACTTTGACTCAATATAAATTCAGCATGTATCAGTTTTGTAGTTCAGTTGCCTATTGCTCGAGTCGACTTTAGTCGACTTGAGTCGATGAAGTTGTGAGTCGACTATCAGTCGTTGTAACCCTTAGTCAGTCGATTGGTGAATGACTGACTGGCTTCGGTGTCTAATGAGGATTCAATCCCCTCTTTACTTATGTTTATTTTAAACACAACAATTTTTTTCAAGCTGACGCGCACTCTGTTAACCAAAAGAAGCACTTGTTAATCATATCATAAGAGTCTCATAAATACATGCGAATACGGTAATCACTTTAGATACTATCTAATAGATAGTAACTTACTTGGTTGTAATATCTATTAGTATCTGTTCATTTTTAAGTCAATGCAAAGAGTAAAACATTGTGTTACTCTTTGAGTCAATGTGATATTATTATACCTGTTGAAGTAGTCAATTGAGATGGCATTACCAATTACAGCTCTCGAATATAATGAGAGCGGTAAAAAATATGAATTTGATGTGACAAAATTTTCCGAGATAGCTTCATCAGATGAAATTAAGGATTTACCAATTGCTGTTGTTTCCATTATCGGAGAATCTCGTAAAGGAAAATCATTTTTACTCAACTATTTTCTTCGCTACTTACAACGATACGATCAAGAAGACTGGCTTGGTGATCCAAATGAACCATTACAAGGTAAGGTTGCCTGTGATAAACAAATCAACAAATTGATGAGTTTCTGTCAAATTAACATGAAATAATGTTCATTCTCAATCAGGATTTTTGTGGACACAAGGTGCTGAAAGCTGCACCACTGGGATCGTTTTATGGCCAGAACCGTTAATTGTTACCCGAAAAGATGGGACAAAAATTGCCGTTATTTTAATGGATACTCAAGGGTTGTTTGTCGATGCAACAGAACAAGAAGATTGTAATTACATTTTTGCAATCTCATCCTTTCTCTCGTCTATTCAAGTTTACAACCAACAGGAAAATATTCTGACCAATGACATAACCCTATTATCACGGCTTGCTGAATATTCAAAAGAGAAGCTGAAAATTACTGGTTACAAAGGGATACAGAAGCTTCTGTTACTTATTAGAGACTGGTCTGCAAATTGTGTTTATCCATTTGGAGCTGATGGAGGAAAACAATTTTTAGATTCCAAGAGGAATAATCAATCACAATTTCATAAAGACTGGCAAACTATACATGATTGCTATTCACAAGTTGACTGTTTTCTTATGCCACACCCTGGATTACAAGCCACTAGAAGAGGATTTGAGGGTGAAATATCCAAACTCGATGCTCATTTTACCAACGTTTTACGTGAACTCGTTGAGAATTTGTTGTCACCAGAAAATATTGTTATCAAAACAAATAATGGAAAAGAGATGAAAATGTGGGAATTCGTCGCTTTTTTCAAAAATATTTCTGAAAATCTTCAGTTAGTTTCCTTGTTTCATGTGGTTGAATATTGCGATACCAAAATTAACAAAACTTCGTCTTTACCTTTTCAGAAGATGGATTTATTCTTTATGACGAGTTTTTGGATATTGATTTTGAAAATCAAGCAAGAAATGCTTCAATGTTGGCCATGGCTGAATTCATGAAAAAATATATCGAATTAAATCCACGCAAAGACGCTCAAAGGGTGCATTACAGTATTGTGATTGCTCGAGCTTCAGCTACACTCTTTTACTACGAGAAGACCAAGGATATCGATTCAGAGATTGCAGTAAACTATTTGGAAGATTTTAACGATTCTTTGGATGACTATTTAGAAAAATTCTTTAACCGTTATGCTGCAGGATCGACTGAAGAATCCAGTGAAAGTTCATCGCAAAATTCATGGTATCAGAGAATGTATTCCGGCTTTTCAACAGTTGCATCATTTTTGTTTTCTCATTCTGGTACAACGGGCTTTGTTCTTGATGTATGTTTAGAAATTTTTGAAAATTATTTTCATGCGAAAACAAGTGCTAGAAAAAATCAACGAAGGAATCGACAAAGAAATCAACGTCGAAGATGATCTTTTACAATTAATCGAAATATAATTTACAATCAGAATCTTCAGACCATAACCAGAACTACCTGTTCATCATATCTCAGATAAAGTAATATTTTGAATAATTCATAATTTCGCCGTTTGAAATTTTGAGCCATTTTATTGTACAAACTGATTCCAGGAATTAATTGTGTTCTAAACTTGTAATGGAAATGAATCTTGACTTATTGTCTCTATAATAAGTGACCAATGAATTCATGGGTATATGAAAAATAATTTTTCTCTACCTTAAGTGTCATCCTGATTTGGAAATTAAAGTTTGGAACTGATTTTTGTTTCTATGGAAATTTGCATCTAATCTTTGGTTGCTCTCGATTAAAGCTACAGAAGTGATTGGAATTGTTACTCCCGTAATTTTTTTAGCTGAAAATTCCATCATTACTGTAATCGCTTTTTCAAAATGCACTTTGCTCAATGATTTAATATAAACAGTTTTGATAATTATTAAGAAAAATCTTTATTTTAAACAATGTCAAGCTTAGTGAAGTTTCCAGAACCCATTCGAATAGTTGGATACAATCCAGATCTCAAAAAGTATCAATTTGATGCAAAAGCATTTGCCAAAATAGCAACATCAGATGAAATCAAGGATTTACCAATTGCTGTCGTTTCAATCATCGGAGATAATCGAAAAGGAAAATCATTTTTACTCAACTATTTTCTTCGCTACTTACAACGATACGATCAAGAAGACTGGCTTGGTGATCCAAATGAACCATTACAAGGTAAATTCATGTGTGATGAATAATTTCAACATAAGTTCTTCATGCAGTATCTATTCTTCAACAGGATTCCCATGGAAACAAGGAACAGAAAAGGTTACAGTTGGAATGGTTTTATGGCCTGAACCTCTAGTTATAACAAAAAAAGATGGCACGAAAATTGCAGTGCTTTTAATGGATACTCAAGGATTATTTGATCATCAATCGAAAGATGAAAACTATATGGACATTTTTGTAATCTCATCTTTGCTCTCGTCTGTTCAAGTATACAACAAGAGTAACAACATCCAGAGTAACGATATAATTCAGCTGTCTCAGCTGATTAAATACTTGAAAGAGAAGCAAAAAAATGTTTTGGATTTCGAACAAGCAGTTTTGTTAGAAAAACCTGAAAAACTTTGGTTTCTTGTTCGAGATTGGGCTTTTGAATGTGACCATTCATTTGGCGCTGTTGGAGGAAGGCAGTTTTTAAATTTCAAGAAGAGTAACCAGTCCAATAAGTTCAAACAAGCTTGGGATACCATTGATGAATGTTACTCAGAAGTTGACTGTTTTTTAATGCCTCATCCTGGACTTGATGCAATCAATAATCCAGATTTCCAAGGTGAAAGATGTAATCTTGAGCCTGATTTTGTCGACTCTTTGCGGGAACTTGTTTTAAATTTATTGTCGCCAGAAAATATTGCAATCAAAAAAACAGAAGATAAACCGATGAAATTTTTGGAATTTTTAAAACTCGTAGAAATTTTTGGAACCACATTCTCTGGTAAGTTCAGACTTATCTTAAATAATTATCAGTTTTATTAATAATATTTTCATTTTTCTTCTCAAAGGAAATAATTACATCTATGACGATGAATCTCAATTGGCCTTTGAATACATAGCGCGAACAATAGAAGCAAGTAGAACTGCAAATGAAATGTTCATCTCGAAAATGGTTGAAAATAGTTTGCACAACAATGTCCAACAGTTTAAATCTCAACTTGAATCTGCTCGTTGGGAATCTATATCATTTTACCTCAAAGAAACACAATCGATTGACTCGGAAATCATGTTAGATTCTCTAAGAGAACTTGAAAATACACTAAAATCTCATGCTATATCATTTGAAAGAATCAATTCTGAAGTACGACCTCAACCATCCAGCAGTCCAACATTGGCAGTTCAAAGATTTAGTTATAAAAATTTGATACTATTGGGTGCTAGATTTTTATCTCCAAGTTTCTTGTTTAAATTAATCCGTGCTCATTTTACAAGAAATAGACGATGAAATTATGATAAAATACAGCAAACTACTCTGGATAAAATTGGAAAGGGAATAATTTCAATGTAATTGACACAAAAATAAACAATCTGTGCGTGTATCCAATCGTGTGATTAATAAAGGGCAAACACGTTATGTTAAACAAACACATAATTGCGATGACGGTTTCAACTCCAATATTAGTTGCCAGACTCTATTTTTTATTTCGCCATTTGAACATCAAAATATTACCATTTCAAAATTTCTCATAAAATATATTCCAGCCTTGTTAATAGTTTTTGCTATGATGATGCATTTGTATTATATCTTTATTTGATTTACATTTTATGAATATTAAATTTTAATGAGATAAATCGATACAATTATTTATTTATTGCATAATAATTTAAGTTTCAAATATTGAAAAACAGTTATTCACAAGGAAATGTATCTTTTTTGTCTCCAGACTTGAACTTTACACAAGGGCAACAAAATATTATGGTCACATTAATTTATGCAAATATTTTGCGCATTTCTTTCAGATCATAAGAAACTTCGTTTGAATTCGTTATGAAATAACATCTAAAAGTTACTAGACAAAATTGATTTTCATCGTGTCAAATTTAGCTTAATGAATCAACATAGTCTCATGACGATATAAGTATGAATTTTCTATTCAAAATTGGTTTTCTCGATAGATCTCCACGCACAATTTATGATCCTGTTAGAAATGCATTCACTGGTCTATTTGTTCGCTACTATAATAAACAACTAGAACTCTACAGTTCCATTAATTACACTATTGTTTTGGTTAACCAAACCGATTTTGGAGATTGTGATTCCGTTAATTGTACTGGCCTTATTGGACACATTCAACGAGGTGAAATTGATTTAAGTGAAAGATTCTATTCATTCAAAACAATTCCCAATTCAATTGCTGGACTTAAACCAGGACCAGTGATTGGTGATGTTTCTTGTAACATTGTTTCATTTTTACCCGAAGTTGCAACAATGCGTGAAGACGTCTTCAAATCACTATCAATGTTCACTTCAGACGCAATTATATTCTTAGCTTTCCTTTTTCTGTTTCTTTTTTCAACCCCTTTCCTTCTGTGGTACTGCGAATCAAAATTTTTCAACATTAAATCCAACACTTCAACTAGTATCTGGTCTTTGATTCATGCAATTTTAAGTCAAAGATTGCGCATTGAAACTCTTTTTTATCGTCAATCTTTGTCATTCATTTGGATTGCAATCATATTGACACTGTTTTTCCTAACAGCACTTTATTCTAGTTCATTCACTACAGATCTTACATCTAAAGCACCCATTAAAACGATTGATTCACTTGAAGATGTTGCCAATTCCGATAGGATTCCGTTGTGGATGGAAGAACCGTCATGCAGAACCATAGTGAATAGCAGTTCTCCTCGAGCTTAGCAAGAGATTGCAAGACGAGGACAGTATAAAAGATTGGGGCATCTCGTCGACGAAATTACTGAAACGAAAGGAATAGGAAAATATGTTTTTATAATCAATGTTGACGAGATTTATAATGTTCAACTGAGCTGTTGTCTGTATAACTCAGAATCGTTGCCACAATGGTATCAATCAACTGGTTCTCTTCCCGTTCAACTGTTATTTTCTGTATTGAACTCGAAGCTACCTCCTTATGCCACAAAAATAGTTAATCTGTTGCACGAGAAACGATTCGAAAGTGGCGTCGTGTTTCATATCCAAAGTATATGGAAATTGTATCTCGACAAGAAACTTGATCCTGAGCAAAAATTTGGCTGTTTACATAAAACCTCCATCAGCCCCACTCCTGCTTTGTATCGTTTTAATCAACTAGACATTCAAAATTACAAGCTATTTTTCAAGTACTTCTTATGCGTGATTCCAATTTGCATTCTCAGCTTGATTTGTGAATATTTGTATGCCGAGATAAACTCATTAAAGTCAAAATAAAATAAACAGTTAAATTTTTGTGCTAGTGACTTACTTTGTGCACTTATCAATATTGAACATTGAACAAATTATACATTCAAATCTAGTCTACATTTAATACAAGATATCAAAGGTTTCTCATAAATGGCATTGTTTTTGAACTTTATTTCAAGATTTCCAGGGAATGATTGGTAAACAATGAATTATGAGAAATGAGCGATAAATTCAAATGATAAGATTAATTTTACAAACAAATTCGTTGCTATCTTTTAGTTTCTTTTTCTAACTATTCTGCGTTGTTCAATAAGTTCTGATGCTTTATGATTCGATCAAGGTGACTAGCAATTAAAACTTATTAATCTCTTCGAGTTTCAATTGGTTTTTATAATTTTTTGATTTGATTTTAAATGTTTGTGTCTCTATTGTTGGCTTGCATGAGATAAAAAAGATCAAATCAACCCAATGAACCAGATTGATAGTTATATTCACACCAAGGTGTGTGTCTACTTGTGTCTGATTTACTAATTGTCATTCCTATCAATTGGATTTGATTTCAATAATAAGATATGTATTGAGAAAATCCATTTCAATTATGAGTTGTGATGATTCGATTGCATTTATCAAGATTTTGAGTAGAAACCCAAATTGCTACTTTATCACATTAATTCGCATAGAAGTTAATAAGTTATGATTTCTTGGTTAATCAGTTGATTGCATATTTTTTACTATTAACATTGAATAAATAGACAGAAATGATTTTAGTAAACTAGATAAAAACGAGTTCGTTTGAGCTTTTCATTTACATTGGATATGGTATGTTTATGATACAGATCGATAATAAAATGGGAAAAAGAAACTCGAAGATTTTTGATATTGGACAAAAAGATCGATAATTAATTGACTTTTGAGACATTATTGTGATTGAGAAAATTTTAAACAAACAAACTTTTTATTTGCTTTGCATTCGATCATTTGGAGTAGTTTACATTTCGATATCAATGAAATTTGATCCAACAGAAATCGAACATGGAAATCAAAAGCACAATGCTAAATACCATTAAAATTGAGTCAATCAAAAGTTGAGTGTAAAATGTGTTGAACAGTATTAGGCATAAAATTTGACTTAAAAAGTCTACCAAAGTTGAATAAAATGTAAATGAAGTTAGGGTGAGAATTTTTACAATAGTGATAGATCGTTACAGATTTTCGTCATGAAATTTTATTATTAACTGCATTGGTAATGAAGAATCGCAATGAATTTGAATAATCAATTGATACTGTATCAATCAGTTGTTTCAAAAATCCCCTCATGCCTCTTACTTGTTGAATCTTGACCATTATTCTGTAATGATCATCTGAGGCTTCACAGGTCGATTGACTTATTGATTTCAAGTAACGTTCAAGTAAATAGATGTAAACGTATTGTTCGTGTCTGTAGAATAAAGTAAATTTTTGAATTAAAAAGTGAATGGCATTTCAATAAGTTAAGTAACAAACCAACCTGATGGGTTCGAAGTGTTTCAGTCCTCGTAGTTCTGCATTGAAAATGACGATTAAATAGATGAGAGCCAAAGCCTTTTGATCATTTCTCCATTTATCAGGAAAAGATTCAATAATATGAACAAAATCGTTGTGTAATGATTGACTAAACAGGAAAACATCGCGTCTATCAAATGCAAAGTTGGTCTCTGAGCTCTAGAGTAGAGAGAAGAGCATTAATAAAAGCAGTTTAATCATTTAAATTTAATGCTTACTTGCCATCCATCGGTTAATCGATTATAACCAACAATACCTCTGATTAAATTCATTTCATAAAATCCATTGATGAGTAAACTAATTTTATCACAGTTTACCAGTTTTCTGTAGCCTTTGATTTTGTTGCATGTTGAAACAAGCTGAGCTGGAGTTGGATTAGCAATCTTGTCGATCAACGATGAACCCAATTTAAAGCCTTTTGTCACTTTGAAAGCTTCAGTTGCCTCATTGAGAACCAAAGTTTCAAACTGGTCCAGAGAATGTTGAGTGGACAAATATTCAGTTCGTAAGCTTAGCGGTGTAAATTGGACAGACATTAATTTCTGGGCAACAGATCGATTCCATGGTTCAAGAGTTTCCGAATTGTTTGTATTCAATCTAATCATCAACTTGTATCCTCGTCTCAATAGATACATGAAACTTGCCTTACGATGTGCATACTCTTCGGTCACTTCACGTTGATATGTTTGATGGTCACTGTTGTAATAAGCCAGAGCTGGTAAACTAAGAAAGTTGTCATTGTTGGAATTGAAAGTTGGAGTTGAATTTGTTTGTTGTGCATTTGATTCGTAAAGATTTTGACCCGTTCCTTCAGCGTAAAATCCATTGGACATTGAATTGAGTAAAGTAGAGCAACCATCGTCAGACATGCACGATTGTTTAGGTAAACTTGAAGAGTCATCCTCGTTAATCAGGTAACTTTTGATGGTATCTTCACTGGGTGAGAGAGCTTGGAAAACATTCATTTTAATGTGATCACTTGATGTGATTGAAGATTGATGGCCTTGAGTTGACTCGCTAAACTCAAAGTTTGCTCCAAAGATCGTTGGTGTTGCACATTGTGGACTGTAACCAAGAAGATCACTTAAATCCATGATTCCTAATAACACTAGAAATGTAACGTTTTGAACATTTACAGTTTCATTTTAACCAAAAAAGCTATTTACCAAAAAATATGAACACAAATGCATAAATGTATAAAGTAAAATCAATTGTTTTACCAACTTTACTCGTTAACTTGATCAGATTGTATTGTCAATGACAAAAATCAATTGCACATGTTTCATGATTAGCTGTTGTTTCCAATACTATCATTTCAGATGACACAATTACTATTCAAAAGCTTCAAGACATTAATCCATTCATTTTTGATAAAAGCTCAACTTTACCATTCAATGAGGTTCAATAATCGGCTTTGTCATGCTAGTTTCATTGCTAAATCGCTTTCATCCTTGCACATCTACTCCTTCAGTCATATATGATGGATTGAGCTTTAACCAGAAAAGTTATTAACTTATAACATTCAATAAAATACTTTTAATTCACTTCTCTGTTCTCTTCCTTTTCGTCAGTTCAACTTTTGAGTTGACAGTTTTTAGACATCAGCATATTCTATCATGAAATGTACCCAAATTTCCTGTGTGTTGCTTGATGCTTCTCTTATTTTGAAAAGTTATTGGACTTGCTTTAGCAAACGTTTTACAAATGTATGTTTCGTGTATTCCAGTTTAAACAACTTTACTTCTCATTAGATGAACTGAATATAACTATTTTGTGGTGCTTTGCAAAGAGTGCTTAGTTGATTTGATTGATTCCTATTGCATTAAAATAATCCCTTCTACGGTTTTTCATTGAGTCGTTAAAGTATTAAAGAACTGGTGAATTTGAATTGAATTAAGGGAATCAAACGACTTTTGGTCAGCCAACTTTGCATCAAAACGGTATTCCTGCTGGTCATTGACAACCAACGTCAACGATGTACGCCAAATGCAGTAATATCAGTAAATCTGAAAGTCTATCGCTAAGTATATTCCATATAAAGTAGCATCCATTGTTGAGTACAACTATTCACCAGAAAATATTGACTTTAAACAATTGCTTTCAAGTTGTCTTCAATTCTTATTAATAGTTGATTTAATCACAACCAGAATCACTCGACTTTTTCCGATAAAAACCATAGTGGGATAGAGGAGTTTGAAGTACAATGAATAAAAATAATCCAAAGTGTCTTCTTCCAGAGTGCATTTGTTATTTTCAATTGTCTTACCTTCACCTAAAAGATGCTTATAACGATATGAAAAAGAGTAACATTTTATCTTGAACAATATTGTGCCTCTCAACGCTCAACTTTGTCAAGTTTATGCTCTTTATGCAATTTTGTGGCTCTCATTTTGTAAAACTGTATTAAAATGACGATTAAATAAAGTAAAGCATCAACATCAAGATCATTTTGTAAGGAATTGAGTAAAGCTTCTTTAATATTTTATTGTAACATTGTTTTTATTAGAAGAAAATTAAAAGTTTCTGTTTCACACACATTGTGATCAAAGTGCGTGTTTGTGCAGAAGAGAGCTGAAAAGTTGGTAATTTTGTGGCGGTAATGGAGTTAGTTAAATCCAGTTTGCGATGAGATTCATCATTTGGTATATCACAGTCAACGACAACCATGAACATGTATCGGCTTCCAACTGGGCTTTAAAGGCAATCTCAAGTTAAAACTAACTTTAGTTTCACTCTGAAATAGAAGATTTAAGAGCAAAAGTTTAAGCATTTTCAAGCCAAGAAATATAGCCATATGATAGATCTCATAATCGTGTACAATTGAATATACCCACCAGCATGAACCAAAATTGGTTAGATTCGATATTCGATTCTGTAAGAGTGTATTGAAATTCTTGTCAAGTGCTGAAAGTAATTCCATTACGCATTTCCTGCATTTTCGAGTCTCTTCAATTTTAACCATTAACCTGTAAAGATGGTCTGCAGCATCACAGTCCGATGCACAAACTGTCCTCAAATAACGTTTAAGCAAATAAATGTAACTGTATTGTTGATACCTGTGAGAATGAATATCGCAATTAGAATCAGAATAAACTTAAAATTGTTAACAGTAAACAATACAAACCTGACTGAGCTGGCAAATTTCAACTCTCGCAAGTCTGGATTAAAAATGGTGATTAAATAAGTGAGAATAATTACGGTTAGATCTTGCCTCCAGCGATCTGGCAAGGTTTCAATGATGTGGCTCATTGCTTGGTGCAAAGCTCGATGCAAGTAAAAAATGTCCAGTCTTTGATAATACATTCCCGATTCTTCACACTAGAAAGATTGCAATTGATTAAAGACAATTAGCGAATACTTTTAAAACTTTAAAACTTATGCTCAAATCCTTTACCAAAAAGCCAAGAACCTTTAATCCCTCGAACCCATTGAACTGTTTAATAAATATCGTAGTGTGAATAAGTTCATTACAATAACTCACAATTAAAACTGGATTCTGCTACAATGCTCAACTTTTACACTTTTATACAATATACTTTAAAGATTTATTTGCCTTTTCGTCCCTTAAAATTTAATACAACCTTTTTTAATAACTTCAGTACCAATAAAGTTTCTTCAATGGATTTATTTTGTATTCTGTTTGTATAAGCTTCTCAAAACTTTGCGAAATGATTTGGTATGCAGAGACAAATCTATGGAATCATCTGCATTTTTCATTGCAAATTCAATTCTTTTCGGTGACAATACTGGCTGGTTATATTAAGATGCGCTGTGGGTCTTCGAATCTAACTCATATTCGAATAGATTTACTAGCAGTTCTCTATTTTGCAGTTCGTTTTGCTAGCAGTTGAGCGCTCAAGAACTGCTCTAATGCTTACTGTCATTCCAATTACTTTCAACTTTAATGGTCTTCTCATTTGTGCTTCTGCTAATTGTCAATGAGAATTGCTAATTGATTGGCAGTTGCATGTGTTAGATGTGAGCGATAAGTTGTCTCAACAAAAGAAACCATAGCATACGTCTTTTGAACTACGTAACTACTTACAACTGTTGGACTCACAACTGTTGTCAGAATGTTTCAGTTGGTTAAATGGAAAGTTCCTTAAAATCCAAGAATGAAAATGATGACACTTACCTTCCAACCATCAACAGTATGAATGTAATTAAATACACCTTTAATTAAAAGAAGGTCAAAATATGCATTTGAAAGAAGAGTAATCTTGTCAATATTTTGAAGTTTACGAAAACTTTTGAGTTGAAGGCAATTTAAAGCAAGTAAATTTGGAAACGGAGTCAAACGGCCTCTTTCTGGAAGAAATGTCATCATTTTTAGTTTTCGTTTCCCTTGAAAAGCTGCTAAACCTTCAGATAAAGAAAGAGATTCAAATTGATCGAGTGCAATTTGGTTTGATAAATATTCCGTCTTTAAGTTTAACGATGAATAGAGGATAGAGAGCAGTTTCTTGGACACATTTGTATTCCAAGGCTCGTCAGTTTCACTGTTGTTTGTGTTCAATTGTAAAAATGGTTTATACCCAAGGCTGTCAAGGAAGACGATTCTTTGATTGACTTGATAATTTCTGCGTTGAGATAGTTGATACGCTTGCGAATATTGTGCATTCATGAAGGCGAAATTAGGCGATGAATGTGATATCGAGTAGCTGGACGATGTTGCAGGTGGATAAAAACTGTTAACACCAGGCAAGGTATGACTTGTTTCCCTGGAATCCAGGTTAGATGAGAGAAGATTGGTTTGCAGAGAAAATTGAGAGAAGCTGTCGTTAGACCATAATGGTTGATTGTTGTAATTTGACTGGGTTAGATGGTACTGATCCATTGAGGGGTTCGATGGATTCGACAAGTTATTGCAAGTTGACTGGTCATTCCCAAGATAACCTAAGATAGTTTCTTCACTCGGGTAAAGCGTTTTAAATACATTAAACATTGTTTTTTGAGTAGGGTTGGTTGTTGTTCGTTCTTGCAAGTCATTTAAATTGCTTTCCAGCGGAAAACTTGATACTGGCTGGTTGAGAGTTTGGTTAAGAGCCAGAAATTCACTGTAATCCATTGCAAATTAGGTTAAAGGAAAATTAAAGTACGAATTGATGTACAAGTAATTTGATGTGGACTAAACTTGTGAATGATATGTTATTACTCTTGCTTGGGAACTCAAACTCTGCACCTGTGATTATGACGATTGCAATGGGAAATGTTTAGTTTCTTTTCTGTCGATTTGAACAGCCAAATATTGTATCCAATCAAGAGTATTAATAATCAAATCTTCTTTAATAAAGCGCATTTAAAACTGTCAAAGCTCAATGGATTAATTTTGTCCGATCAATAGAACGGATCAAAAGTTGAGAAAAAATTGATACATGCTCTTACAACTTACAATTGAATAAGTTTTAATCGGATTTTTGAATGCATGATACATGTAGCAATCGTGATGCATATTTGCATATTTTATAGAGATCGACGATGATTCAAAACGTTTCTTGAAATTGGCCAAAGTATTAAGTAATAAGTTAAGAAATGTAATAGAAATAAGTTCTTATGTAATAATAACAATTATTCCAATTGAAGTACTTACTTAGTTAGATCTTGAATGCTACAAGAGCATTTCAAGATCAAGTGCGATCATTCTGTAATGTTATTAATGCAATTTGCTATTGACGAAACGAGTTCAGACGATTTTTAAATTGCATTTCAAGGAATAAAATGTGCGAAATTGCTAACAGTGTAAAATTAGAAATTTAGATTGGAGTAAAACTTCCAAATGCAATTCCTGGTGAAATCCATTCACCAAGAAGTTTGTTTGATAAAGATTCAAACTCGCATAATCTTTATTTTTGAAGCTGAATATGGATATTTCTGGAAGGAAAATTGCATCGTTCCATCATTACATTGATTGCTCATTGTTTTCTCATTGTTTTCTCATTGTTACCAACATTTATCCGTTCAACTCATTGAATACAAGCGTCATCATTTGTCAAGATAACGTTTCCTTGGATTCATTATTGTTTCAATCATTGTTCAATGTCTCACTAGCTTCATAAACGTCGACTAACTTTAATTCCTCACTTAATCTTCAAAAAGTGTTTCAAAAATGTCTCTTAAACATTTAATTATTGTTTCCTTGTGTCTTCTAACTATTGCTATCAATGCAAGGGCTGCACCTGGCGATCCGAATGAAGTGGAACCGAAAGAAGATGGAGCAACAAAACCACCAACGACACCAGAACCAGAAACAAAACCAGAACCAGAACCAGAACCAGAAAAGGTCCAGTTGATAAAAACAAGTGATTCCTCTGTTATAATTAGGCTGTTAATTGACCCTAAAAGTGGGGAAAAGAAATTTAAAAAATTTTCTTTGGTTTATGCGCTTGAAAGGCCAAACGAAAAAGGTGACAAAGAATGGCGTTATTCAGATAAAGATGCAACAGTTAATGTTGGTAAGTATTGGTAATAAATTTAATATAATTCCCATTAGGTTCTAATAGATTAATGATCTCCTCTTTGCCACAGCGAAAATCAAGAATAAAGTTATTAAACGTGGAGTAGTTGGCAAAGTTTTCCAGTATGACATTGAAGTTACCAACATTCAACCTGATACCAAGATCAAAATATTGTTTGATCTCTTTTATGACGAAGAAAAGGTCCGCACGAAAGAAATCGAAACCAGAACCAAAGCTAAATCTCCAGTGATTAAAACTACAGCACAATTATTGACCTTGCAATTTGAGAATCCTAATGCAGTCAAATATTTCGCCAAAGTCAACAAGGTAAAACAACTTTGATTGTTTGATTCCATCAGCTTTTACAAATATTGATTCTTTCCTTTGTCTATGCTCGATAAGATACAATCTTGAACAAGAGTTTCATCTTGAATGATCTTAATTGAAACTATTAACTCATTGTGATTGTTTGTTATCAACACGGCAAAGAAGATCAAAACAAATGATTTCGATTTCTAATTGCAATTTCTTCTTCTGTACAGATGAAAGATGACAAAGAAACAGATTGTGTTCTTGAGTTGACAATGTCACCATGTTTTGGAAACAGTATTGGATTACCTGGGTTAATATCTGGTGAAAAATATTCAATCAAAGTTTGGTATATTCAAGCTGATAACTCTGAATCAGAAGTCACAACTCAAGTGATTACCGGCTTACAAGGTGTATAAGCTTATCCAAATATAAACATTTCAACTTTTGGTTACAAGAATAAACTTTTCTTTTACTTCTAAATCGACCAAGATTTTCAATAAAATATCAAATTAAAATTCAATTCAATTTTTAATAAGCTTTGGTTCTTATTATTTACAAAACGCAATAAATGAGACACTCGTGATGCAGGAAACTTGATTATATAATAGATGAATGATTATTTTACTTGAAAAGATTCATTTCCACTCCAATATGGATTACGTTATCATTATATTGAAGATTATCTTAGCGTTGAAACTCAAGTACAGAAATAAGTAAACAGATTCCTGATTGAAAAAACATTTCACTTTGTGAGTGAAAATAAACTGACCTCTCATTGCAAGGGAGTTTATTGAAACATTATATCTAGATATTTGTTTTGAGTTAATCACAGTTTAATTGTGAATTTCCTATTGTTAATCGATCACATTCAAATCATGTTATTGAAACCTTATTAGGTTAGCATCTGACTAGATTAACCAGAATAAACAATTGAAACAATTAAATGTTAACCCTTTATTGTTGCAACAAACAATTGCATTGGGCTAACTGAAGCTAACCATTCCAGACCGAAAATAAAGGAACACATGAAACGCCTAGAAATTAAATTATCACTTCAATCTTTATTGTTAATCATCGAGTGAGAATACAATTAGCTAATTGTCCAAAAATAATATCAATTGTTTCAATGTGTAAACAAGATAATCAGAAATTTCGTTTCCTTCCTTTATTATAAAATACAAATATAATATTTATTTATAAACATTGCTCTTTCAATTGACTTCAATCATCAAGACTACAACAATTAAACTCAACCAGTTTTCAAAATGTTTTACAAGCAAATTATTGTATTTTCATTGTTTCTTGGTTCCATCTTTTGCTCCCAAGAGTCCGAACCACTTGCCGTTGTGCTGAACGAAGTAGGGGAAGACTATGTTATAATCAATGTGACCGGTTCAATCATGGTTAATGGTACAAAGCTGGGAGGAATCATTGTGACTTATGATATTGAAAAACGGATCGACTCGAAAAGCCAATGGTTCTCCCATCTTGATCTTAGAAAAGGTAAGCTTATTTTTTCAGAATTTTCAAAAGGTTTAATCCAATTCTATTTTTTCAGGCCTGAAAAAGAAACAACTCAGTCAGACCTCAACTCACGAGACTTTTCATCACGTTTACAAGCTGATCAACCTTGAACCAGGCGCTTATTATCGTTTTAATGTGCAAGCTCGATATGGACATCAGTCTTTTGTTGCTGAAAACTCTCCCCTTTATGTAAAACTGAAATCACCAAAAATCTCTGGTAAAGTTTCCAAGCAACAGTTGGCCATAAAAATTGAAGATCTTAATGTTGACAAGTATTTTGTTCAAGTTAATCGAGTAAGTTTACTTTTTATTTTCATCATAATCAGCATCGAATAAAATTTTAAAATGTCTCTGATTGTTATACTTTCATCTCGACTTAACCAATATTATGAAATTATTTTGTCATTTCAGGTCGACAATAATTTAAATCAATTTGATTGTGTTCTAAACATTTCAATGTCTGCCTGCTTTGGAAATAAAAGTTTGATATTGACTGACCTAACTGAAGGTGAAAAATATCAAATCAAGAGTTGGTACACTGATTTTGATGGTACAATTTCAGAAGAGACAGTAAATGAATATACTGTTTAAGTGATTTAACATTTCAAATCAATGGATAGCCAACTTTCTTTGCGTTCATCAAAACAATTAAAAACAGTAAATTATGGAAGTTTACCGTGTGAAATAACTATTAACAAATTTGATATTGGCTTAAAATTTAATTTTTAATCATTTTTTAACAAAACTTCTTTCATAACCAAAATTAAATACATTTTTTTATTAAAGAAAACCAGGACACTCTTCCCAATAAATTCATCCAACCATAATGCCAGAAGATGGATCGAACAGGGAGGCTGGTCTTTCATTAGTATCATAGTTTAATGGGGTGGAAATAACTCTCTGTAGATTCGAAGGAGCTGTATTGAAGAAAAAAATAGATGTTAATCCAACAATTTACATGTTAATGTATTAAAGTAATTTAGTTCTAACCGTATTGATTTATCGCGAAATTAGCATGGAATCCATTTCCTCGATTACTGCTTGAAGTAACCATTTTAACTTTTAAAGTATTACCCCGAGAAACGTACGTTGCTGGCAATTCCTGTAAAAATGAAAAAATTTAAATTAGTATGGTTTTAGTGTAAAATTTCGTGACTTAATAATTGCTTTGACTCACCGAACCACAATAACGTCCAACTAAGGAACCATCATATAATTCAACGTAATTAGTGGTACAACCAGGTAATGATGTGAAATCAAATGTGATGAAGCGAAATGTTAACGCATGGTAACCATAGCTGAATATATTCCAGGTACATTCAGATTCATTTGAATAGGGTTTTGGATAACTTGGTGAAGTAAAGCTTCCATTGAAAGCTCTAATATTGCCTCCACACCCAGGGCCAGCATTAGTAGTAGTATAAATCATGTAATATTTGTACCATTCAGTATTTACTTTGAACGTCAGGCTTGAATTGGATGAAAAAATTGGATCTGGAAGTTTACATACTGGTATAGATTTTACTGGGCCTTCACCATCTTTGACTGTAAATAGACTGGTTGAGTTACAGTTGCTCATACCGTTGAAAGAAAATTCTGCTTCATGAAAATAGACCGAGATTGAGTATCCAGGAGAAGCTTTGATGGTGAAATTGCATAGACCATTGTAGTGATAAGCCATTGGGTAAATTTGACTGGTAATTACACCAGACTCTTCTGTATATGTATCATTACAACCAGCCAATTTGTATTCCAATGAGAATCCTCGTCTTGTTGTTTTTACCTCTGATCTAGATGTAAAGGTGAATGTGGCATCATTGGAAATGTGGAAGGTTGGAGGTGAAGTTGTACCACAGATCCGATGAGGTTCATTGTAAAGAGCGTGGCCAGCAATTTCCAAAGAAACTTTTGAATCACAATCCAAATCAAGATCTTTGAAAGTGATAGAGATCTCTGCGCTACCTGTGTCGAATAATAAATGCCAGAAACATCTAATGGATGAAGGATAACTATTTGGATAATTGGGAGAAGCTATGATTCCAGTTGTAATATTGCTGACTTTCAAAGTTCCACCGCAAGTCTGGTTAACCGTTTTGTAAGTCAAACGAAAACCAGCGCCATTGGTATCCTCATTGGAGTAAAAATGAATGTAGGCACGAGATGAAGAAGTTAACAATTTAGTTGGCAGTTCAGATGAACAATAAACATCTATCAATGGACTAGAAGAAGACATTCCATCTCTAATTTCGAGGAAATCATTGGCACACTCAATTTTAGGTGACAATGAACTAGCTTCGATATCCATAAGACTAAAGGTTATCTCAAGAACGTCATATTTTCCGTCTGAAATGATGAGCCAAGTACAGTCCAAATTATTTTCATATCGACCATCTTTATCAATATCAGGTGATTCCAGTGAACCAGAAGTTCCATTTAGTATTCCTCCACAGCCTTGTTTCTGTCCAAGGGTTGTTTCCCATGTTGCTTCAAAACCAGAACTTGTATATTCCTCATCAGAATGAAAAACAAGCAACAAAGAGTTGGTTGAGGATTTGAAAATCATTGGATCAGATGAACCACACAGTCGACGTAAAAGAGGACTGTCTCTACTGGGGCCATCCCAAATTTCCAAATAATCTAGTTCAGAGTGAGGATAAACGAAACCATTTGGATAACAAAGTTCAGTGTTGTACAATTCAATTTTGCTCAAACGAAGCATAATGACGTTATCTTCAGGAACAGTAATCAAATAGCTACAATGTGCGTTGTTAACATAATTGTCATCAACTATTGGAGCTGTGACTTTGCCAGACGATTGAGTGAAATTTCCACCACAAGGAATAATTTGATACTTAATATTGAACCCTCTATGAGATTTAATGGTATCTGACCTAAAGGCAATTGTTAAATTTCCACGAACAATTACATTATCTGGTTTAGTGGAACCACAATATGTACCAATTACATCTTGCGCTAATGATGAATTGCCTCGTATTAACTTAACAAAGTCAAATCCACAAGACGGATGAGGCTCAAGATCAAAGTCAAGAAATTCAATTTTAATGACATCAGTGTCTCTTTGACCTTTCAAGGTCCAAACACAGTTGGAACCAGGGCGATAACCATTAGAACCAGGTGAACTTATAATACCCTCGCCTGGTTCATCAACTAAGAAACCACATATACTTCCTAAGGTTAAAGTAAATCCATCGCCGATTCTATTGTCATCATCAGAGTGAAAAACAACTCGAGCTTTGTATGAATCAAGAGCTAATGGTTTAGGCGGAATAAGACCGCAATATTGACCAATAAATTTCCATGAATTGCCTTTCCATTCGCTTATTGAAACATAATCTTTAGTGCAGTTTGCTGACTTTTCAATATCAAAGCGCTCTTCAAAAGTCAAGTTGAGGCGAAATTCTGGGTAAGATTCAATGTTCCATATGCACTCTGAATTTTTAGGATAAGCAAGAGGATAATTTGCACTACGCACTCTATAATTGGAGCTAGCTCGAACGAAACCTCCACAGTATCTTGACGCTAATGAAAATTTAACATTGAATCCTTTAGCACTTCCAACTCCGTTACTCCGGAAGACAATAACAATGTTAGATGCCACGAAACTAGTTGGACCCGACTTGCCACAATAACGTCCAATAACTACGGGGTCATCAACGGTTCCTTCCCAAATTTCTACGTAATCCTTGGAGCAGTCTTCTTCCAATTCAAATTCTGTGAACTCGACTTGCCAGGCGTAACTATTTATATAGTTATAATTGAACTCCCAAAAACAAGTTGCATTGACTGGATAACCTTGAGGCCAACCTGGTGAACTGAAATTTCCTTGAGGATCAGTGATTCTGCCACCGCAATCATTCACACGATACATTGCCTTTACACCACGATAACCTTTGGTTTGATTGATACGTGCAGAGATACCAAACGATGCGATTTTCGATGAAATCAGTGAAAATTGATTGGTTTTATTTCCACAGAATAATTTACCTACAGAATGATCTAAATCTGTAAAAGAGGTGGAAAATATAGAAATGGATATGAAAATGGATTGTTGCGTTGAATAAATTGCACCAACAAACCTGTAACTGAGCCTTCAGCTATTTTTCCTTTAGAACAATATGCATCACTTGAATCAGAGCCAAGTACTTCGATAGTTTCATATTCAATCCACTTTGTTTTTGTTAAATCTTCAGTTTCAATTTCAATTTTCCAGAAACAATTTATGATTGCACCATCTACAGGCTTTGAAAAATTGGTTGAAACAATCAAAGGTGAATTTTTTGTGACGACTCCTCCACACTCTGGATGTTGTCAATCGAAAAGTAAAGAATTTATCATTTTTATAGAGTTTCAATGTTAGTGAAGGATTCGAGCTAAATTTGAATTTAAACCTTACCTGTTGGTTCACTGGCAGAAAAGCTTGCCTCTATTCCTTCACCAGATCCTAAGCTAAAAGTTTTGAATCTCAAAAATAGCACATTATTAGGAGACTTTATTGAAAATTCATTTTGATATCCACAAGGAAGAATCAATTTATTTGGCTCGGATGGCACAATATCTGAAAAGTAAAATGAACGATGATCGAAAGTAGCTTCAAGTGAATCGAGACATGAATTTGCTACTCTTGTATTTTGTTTAAGGTTATATTTAGTGAAAGTTAAAGAAATACGGCGATCAACTGGAGCTTTGAATGACCAGCTACAGGTAAGAGAGTGTCCAAGAGATGACTGTGGAGTACGCACAATTCCCGGCTTAGAAGCATCAAATGTATTATAGCAGCTATCTGGAATGATATTAAATTAGATGTTAGAGTTAATTCAGGTTAATCCAGTTACTTAAATGAATAAGCTAAACTTACTTTCATAATCAGTGTAAGAAGAGAAGGAGATTCGAAATCCTTGGCCAGCATTTTCAGAATTGGATTTAAAAAGTACGTACATAACACTTGTTGTCGATTGTACAGTAACTGTAGAGTTTCGAGTTCCACATAATTTCATTATAAGATCACCTGTCGGTGATATTTCACGAAACTCTAAATAGTCACCATCATCACAACTGGATTCAGAAGGTAGATCCAAACTCAATATGGTTGCCATTACGGTAGAAGAAGTTGAATATGAATGAAGATAATAGCCACAATTCATGTTACCATCATAAGGACTCGGAAAGTTAGGACTTTGAATGACGACTGAAGATGAAATGAAGTAAGTTCCTCCACAAATATTGAGGGAAATGGTTGCTTTAAATGGAGCCAAAGTAAGATCACCCGAAGCCGAATAACGGACAAACATGAAGTTTTCTGTGGTAGTAACACCAGAAGCTTGTGGGCGAGGACAGAAACGACCTATTAGTGGGGACAATCGAGTTCCACCATCATGAACATCAACACGAGTCAAATTCTTGTTACATGTGTGTCTAATAATTGAAGGTCCAGAAATAATTTCAAAATCTATCCTAAGATTACGATGAGCAGGACCTTTGAACAGCCAGTCACATTGAAGAGCATGAGGAGGAAGGGAAGGATATCCTGGAGAATTGATGGTCACTGAAGGTGTATTTTCATCCAAATCGAATGAGCCTCCACAAGTTGCTGAAATTTCCCGATAATTGAAAGAAAAATCCTAAAGAAAAATAAAATATCGATAAAATTACAACGATGACGTTTAAAGTCATGATAGTAGTACATACTGATGGACTAGTCCTGGGTGCATAAACTGAAATAAACATTTGGTTAGAATCCGATTGTATGACGGGCGGTAAATTGGCACCACAATAGTGCCCAATTAATGGTGAATTTTCAAATGGACCGTTTCTTATATTCATATATCCTTTAGTACATGGATTTCCTGAGCCAAGATTGAATGAAAAGAAGTTGAGTTCAATTGTTCTGCCATCACGAACCATTATTTTCCATGAGCAAGACACTGCCGATCCAAGAATAGATGAATTGATAACAGCTTGTTCGAGGTTTAAAACTCCTCCACAAACTGGAGTCAAGGTTAAGTTAAAGCCAGTTTTGTTGATGTGACTGTCAGTCATAAAATTTACTTGAGATAAATGTGTGCTGAGTTCGAAAGAAAGTTTATTTTTTCCGCAAATGGTTCGATTTTTTATCCAAACACTATCTTCGAAGCTATACTGATAAAAGTTAAGTCTATCATAATTACAAACTTCGGAAGATGCATGTTCGATATTTAAATCAGTGACGTTAACTTTGAAATGAGTACCACTAGGAGCTGTAATGAACCAGCTACAATTGATATTAGGTGAGTAACCAAAAGGATAACCTGGAGATGATATTGCTATACTTTGACCCAACTGTGAACTCAAAAAGTAACTACAGTTTGATGGTTTAGTTGATAAATCACCGATGAGAGAAGTAACATTTTTAGCCTCTGCTTTCCAGAATATCAAAAACCTGGACAGTGTTGAATCAGGTCGAAAGAAGACAGTTGCAATGTTTGACGAAGTAGTTTTTATACCATTCACCTGGAAACCACAAAATCTACCCAACAATGGGTAAGTCCAATCAGGTCCATCATATATAGCAACATAATTACGTTCACATTCAGTGAATCTTGGGATAAGTGAAATTGTATTAAAACGAAAAGCTATGGTTAATCCATCTTTGACCGTTACAGACCAACGTTGATTTGTTTTAGTTGCGTAGTATTCGGGATAAGCTGGTGAAGATATGTAGCCTGAATCACCGGTAAGCTCAACATTTGTTGAAGTATCAAAAGAAGCTTGGAATCCTGGAGCAGAGCCATCTCCATCAGATTGAAATTTAATCCACAACCCAGCATAATAACTTGAATTTTGAATAGGAGGAATGGATTGACCACAAAAACGTCCAATCAATTGACCTGATGCGCTACCCTCACGAATCTCAACATAATCAAGGGCACAAAATTCGTCTGATTCAAAATTGAAATCAAGAAATGTAAGAGAAACACGATTTCCAGAAGAGGCTTTGATTTTCCAGATGCAAGTTGTTGAAAGTGGATAAGAGTTTGGATAACCTGGTGAAGCAAAATTGCCGGTAAAACCAGTAAATGTTCCCCCACATTGACTTGTATCAGTTGAATAAGATGCTGAGAAAATAATTGGACCGGTTAGATGAACAAAGAGAGAATTTCCTTGTGTAATTACTGGTAAAGGATGAGATGAGTCAGTGTACTTCGCAATTAGAGGAGAATCTCTGGAATCGCCTTCTCTAAGCTCTAAACTTCCACTACCTGCGCTTATAATTTTGATGAATCTCCACATAATTCGTTTACCAGGATTCTGTTTATTAGTTCTGATAACCCAGTCACAGGATGGATTTTTGTTTGATATTGACGGATAATTGGGATTTCGAATCACTTTCGGATATTCTTCAGCAATACGATCTCCTCCACAAATTACTTGGTATAAAAATTTGAACCCTTTACCGGTCGCTTTTCCATTGGCTTTGAAGCGAACTCGAATATTGCTTGAAGGAGATATTATTTGCTCAGTAGGAACTTCATTACCACATAGCTGAGCCAATTTATTGCTTGAGTCGGAATAAAAGGCTAGAAAACTTTCAGTACAATTTGCGGAAGAAGGTATATCAAGATCTTGAATCGTTATCTTGATTCTATCACTGCCAAAACCAAGGATCCATTCACAGTCATCAGATGAATCATAGGAAAGTGGATAATTAGGCGAAGTAATTGTGCCTTCATCCAAATTTTGGTAACCACCACAGGTACCAGGTTCAGTATAATAAGTTAATCTAAAACCTTTACCAGCTATCAAATCATCAGAGCTAAAAAATATGGTCATGTAGTTTCCATTTGAAGAAAGTGTTTTAGATGATAAAGATCTACCACAAAGTTTCAATAAACGAGGTGAGGTTAAATCAGGACCTGAAAATATTTGAAGCGAGTCAAAATTACAAGTTGTTGATGATTCGATGAAATAATCGAAAACTGAGAGACTGATCTTATAACCAGGTTTAGCTTTGATTGTCCATTGGCAAGTAACTCTATGAGGATATGGATTAGGATAACCAGGAGATGTAATCTCTCCTCTATCAGCAGTTAAATATCCACCACATCCAACCATTGACCATTCAAGTCGGAAACTTGATGAACTCTGTGTACCAATATTGATATAGTCAATGGAAACAGAACTACTGGGAATAAAAAGGTTACTAATGGTTGCATTATCAATACAGTATTGGATTGATTTTGTGCTGAATAATTGAGCATTGCTTGTTGAATTAGTAATTGATAAATAGCTTGTGGTGCATGGAGAATTGAAATGAGTATCTTGAAAAGCCAAACTAATATTGTTTCCTTGGGGAACTTTGATTGTCCACGAACAATTTGAATTTGATGAGAAAAGATCAGGATAATTTGGTGATTCTATGACACCATGAAGATCGTTAATTGTATTGGAACAATTAGTCGCATAAGATAATTTGAAGCCACGGAAACTAATTGAACCATCAGTTATCATTTTAACAGTGACAACATTTGCACTTGATTTCAATGGTTCACCAATCAATGTATCTCCACATGCTTTTAACAACCGTTGAGCTTTACTGTCTGGTCCATCATAAATTTCAAGTCGATCATGGGCACAATCTGAATGTGGTTCTAGAGATAAATCGACCAAATTGAGAGTTAGACGGGATCCTTTAGATGTTTTAATAACCCAGGTACATTCAGCATCGTGATTGTATGGGTAGGGATAATTAGGCGATATAATAACTCCTGAAGCTGAGCGCATTAGCCCACCGCAACCACTTCCAGCAACATTATATGTCAACTTGAATCCATGACCAGAAACTCCACTATCGGTTATAAATTGTATGGTAACAGTATTTGAATGTGAGATTATTGAAGGAGGTAATTTGTTTCCACAATATTTGCCGATTAGAGGGGCTGAAGTGTCTAACCCGTTATAAATTTCGATATAATCAAAGGTACAAGAATTGTGAAACTCGATATTTATATCAGTAAATTTGATTTGCAATTGATTGTTCTCAGGTGCAATTATTTTCCATAAACATCGACGAGACTTGGGGTAATGCAGAGGATAATTAGGACTAACAATTTCACCTGAAAGACCTCTTCGTATTCCACCACAAAACTTTGAACCATTCAAGAATGAGTAAGCTGCAACAAACCCTTCAAAGGATACCGATGAATCTGATTTAAAGCGAACAATTAACTGTTCATCAACTGATTGAATTGGTGATGGAATCTGGTTACCACAAAATCTACCAAAATTCATATTTTTCTCCATCACCTCAACATAATCATAGGAACATTTACGCCCACCTTCAAGATTGAACATGGTAAATGTCAGCTGAACAACATGACCCTTTGGTGCACTTAAAAGCCAGACACACTCTTTGCCATGAGCATATTCATTTGGATGACTGGGTGAAGTTATTATACCATTTTTATCTCTTAAAACACCACCACAAGAAGCATCGATAGAAGAATAGTTTGCCCGGAATCCATGTCTGTTTGTACGTGAATCCGTTTTAAATGTAATGATGAGCTCATTGAGATTAGACGTGATCATTTCAGGAATTTCTGAGCCACACAGTTGACGTGTTAGATTTGTAGCCAAAATACCAGGCTCAGAGATAGCAACATAATCAAATATACAATCTGGAGAGTTTTCCAAATCAAAAAACGTAAAGCTGAGTTGTATAATTTTTCCAGGAGGAACTCGAATATGATAGGTACAGTTCTTTGAATTGGGGTAGAGAAGTGGATAGTTAGGAGATGATATTGTCCCCGAATCATCGGTGAAATAACCACCACAGAAAACTTCATAAGTTGCATGGAACCCGGTTCCTTCTCTAGACCAATCAGATCTGAATCGAACAAATAATTTATTTGATGTGGATAGAATGGGCACTGGAGGTTTAATTGTAGTTGAACAATAACGTCCGATTAGAGGTGCATTTTGCTGCTCGCCATCACGAATCTCAACGTAATCATAACGACAATTAGGATGATGTTCCAAATCGAATTGGTTAAAACGTAATTCAATTCGATCTTCAAGTGATTTGATTCGAATAACCCAATCACATTCTAAATTACCTTCATATCGATTAGGAAAACTGGGCGTGCTAAGTGCTCCTCTATCACCAGTTAGTAAGCCTCCGCAACCAGAGATGGCCGGAATAGTAGCAAAAGTAATGTGAAATCCTGAATCTTGACGGTTTCTGTCCGAATGAAAGTGAACCAAAGCTGAAGGTCCTGATGTTGTTAATGGTGATGGTGATGTGGTATTACAGTAGTTGCCAAGGATCGGATCAGTATCAGAATGGCCATCATAAATTCTGAGAAAATCAAATTTACAATCAGGATGAATCTCTAGAGAAAGTAAAGCAAAGTGGAAAACAATTCGTTTTCCTAGTGTTCCATGTATGTACCAATAACAATCACGACCAGGAGGATATTTGTCTGGATAACCGGGCGAAGTAATGGCTCCATATTCAGTACCATTAATGACCCCTCCACATTCAGGTGTAACTGTAGTCCAATTTAGACTGAAACCAGAACCTTGATTACTCATGTCAGATGTGAAACTAATGAGTAAGTAGGGTTGTTCACTAGTGATAGTATGATTCTCGGGAAGATTAGATAATTGACCACAATATTTACCAATAACAGGAGCTGTTGAAGTTAATCCATCATACAGAGATATTGAATCGGAATGGCAGTCATACGATGGTTCAATATCTAGTTTTGTAAAAGTAACCTGGATAACTTTACCCAAGGAAGTACGAATACGCCAGTTACAAACTGCATTTTGTGGATACTCGTCACCATTATCTGGAAAACTAATAACTCCTGTCGGAGAATCGAAATCTCCTGTACATTGGGAGCGTTGATCTTGACAACGAGTTCCTTGGTAAGCTGCTTTACATAGACAAATTGGTCCAATTGCATCATTGATGCAAGTACCACCGTTCAAGCAAGGATTTGGATCACAGCTATTTGAAATTTGAGTATCGCAGCGTTTACCAGTAAAACTTGGTGGACATTGACAGGTGAAACTTGGAGGATTAGAAGAGACGGGAATACAAATTCCAACAACGCAAGGATTTTGATCGCATGTCGTACTCGTAGAGGGTAAACAACCATTTGCACCTTCACCATTTCCAATGTAACCCGCAGGACAACGACACTCTCTACCAGGTCCAGCTGAAGCACTAATCTCAACACACTGGGCAACGGGTGAACAATCCCCATTGCGAATTGAACAAACACCAACATAGGAACAAGAGATTCCATCACCAGCAAAACCTGGAGGACATGAACCACATTCTTTTCCTCCAGGTAAATTACGACATTGAACTCTAGGTGAAATTGAACAGCCTCCATTATTTACTTGACACTCGTCTATATCCACACAGTAAAAGCCTTGTTTCTTGTACCCAGCAGGACATGGTCCACAAGTAAAGCCACCAGGATAATTAATACAATCAACAGGTGGATTAATTGAACAGTGAGGCATTGGACTAGCACACTCATCGACATCAACACGACAAGCCGGAGAGACTCCATCAGTTGTCCACCCTGTTAATCAGCATTTATGAATAGAAAAAAAATAATTTATTAGATAGGATTACTTCAAATGATTTATTTACTGATAGGGTTCCTATCACAGGACTGTACCGCTAACTGAAAACATGTAATGATGTTAACATGTAAAGTTTTCAAGAAAAAAAATCATTTGAGTAACTCATGAGTTTTTTTGGAGGTAATTAAGGTATGGGCACTGAAGTTTGTCAGCAAATTTTTCATGGCGACATAATGACTAGACGGATAGGCTCCTCATTTTGACTTTTAAATGTGAATTCACATTGTATTAATAATATGTAAAATCCTTACCTTGGTCACACAAACAAGTGTAATGAGGTTTACCAGCAGCCGGTTTGCCAGTCGATAAGCAAATTCCATGACCACAGAGTGCCTCGTTTGATGCTGACGCACAATCGTCTGACCGTTGTGTACAATGAACTCCAAAGAATCCATTAAGGCAATTACACTGATAAGTACCAGGAAGATTAACACAGGAGGCACCATTTTGACAGCCAAGATCGGTTGAAGCAAATGTTAAACACTCGTTTACATCAAGATCACAGTTGACACCTTCCCAACCTTCACGGCATTCACAAATATAAGATTGAAAACTAGGTATACAAATGCCGCCATTTCGACATGGATTACTTGAGCAAAAGTTTTCTTCCAAACGCTGGAAACAAAAAGACAGACAAAATTAAAAAATCAAATGCAAGCTAATGCGCAAGTTCAGTTAATGTGGTAATGCAATTTTTTAAAATCTTTGGTCATATTCAAAGATTAGTTTATCAATAATTTTAAGTTGATTCATCGAATTGAATCAAGACACCTGTACAATCGAGTAAGTAAAAAGTAACTTTATAGGTCAAGAAAAGTTGCCTTGGAATCACAGAACTGCATTAAGGGCGTTCTTCAAATCACATAACCATTGAAAATACGATATGAAATATAAGTTGAAACTTTGAATTAGAAGATTTTTCATCAAAGTCATTTTTTGATTTAACTTTGATGGTCAATCAGAAGATGGACTTATTTCGTAAAATTTTCGTTTTCTATGGAGCAGATCAATTCGCATTTTCGGTTGAAATCAGTCGAGTTGAAGATGAGATGGTGAGTGAGAAAAGGAAAGTTTTCATTCATCATCTGGCCACTCATCATGCATCATTCCCTTTCATTAATACATTACATTTCCCTGTAAACTAATTCAATGTAAACTCCATCTCTTGACTCCAAGTTTCCATCCAAAGTATGCTCAAGATGAAGCAAGAGTCAAAGAGCAACAAAAAATACAATTTAAAGTGAATCAGCAAATGGTTTAAATCAATAAATGAATTACTTGCTAAATGATTCAGTGAAGGCCAAAGAAAAATGTGCAAAAATATTCAAATGTTCAAGTTTCATTTTACAATGAACTTTCTTCTTCCTCTTTCATCTTTAAATCAAACTTGCAATAACATTTTCATCTTGATATTGTCTTACACAGTCACATTATTAACTTGCAAAATTGAGTTTAAATATTTTGATTTGTTTCTCATTCCCTGAGCTGCTTTTATTACCATTGAATGGAAACTAGAAAAATGTTATAATGAATGAGTTTTGACAAACTATCATTTCATTATTGTTGCACCTTCTTCCATGATCATCATTCAAATCGATAATTTCATTTCAATTTTGGTTCAACGAGTTTTCACTTTTCTCTTCAAGCAAAGCGATTAAAGTTTGAAAATCAAAGATTGAAATCTGAAGCTAGTGAATAAAATTTAATGCTTACCTGTTTTAGTCGATTAAATTCACTCGTCAATCTTGTGATATTGTAAACTGCTCGTCTAAAATCCTTTGGTGAAAACTGTCGTCTTCCTGGACTGAAAAGTAGTCTAGCTTTATTTAAAACATCTGAATACTCATTGAGTTTATCAACAGAGTCTTTCAACGAATTGATCTTTTGATCATAAGTCTGAATAGAGGAACCATCAGATGAAACAGTCGATAAACTTGTTGAAGATGATGAACTTGATTTTGATACCAAATTGTCCAATTTGTCTCCATTGACATAAATGGTTCCTAGATTTGATTTGAATGAAATGCTTTTTCTTGGTGGAGCTTCAAACACAATATTACCATCTTCAACTCGGATTCGTGCACTTTATTGGTTTAAAAACGAACAAGTTGATTAGAAATTGAATTAAGAATTAAAAGGAAAATTTAAAGATTGAAACTTACTGAGTACTGAATGGATCAAATGAAAATATTAAAGTTGGAAAAGCAAACAAAATAAAAATGAAAATGTTGATTAAAGAGTAAAACTTCATAATTGGACAATCAAAAAACTATTTGATTATCTGGAATGAAAAATATAAAGCTAAAGCGAAAGCAAAGCTAAAAAATGAATGCCATAATAAAGTGATTCAGTTAATGAATCAGAGAGATTTCATGTTCAAGTGAATGGCACAAACAAATTATACAAATGTTTAAACTCACTATTTAGCTGTCAAGATCAACCAAGGCGTACCAATAAGTTGACTAACTTTGCGATCATTAATCATTAAATGATTGTCCATCGAGACTTACAGTTTTCATCTGTTTTCACTGGTAATTTGATATTAACCTAAACACAATATCATAGAGACTAACAGAGTCGACAAGATTTTACTGTCAAATAGCATTCTAAAATTGTTATCGGAGTAACAGGATAAAGCTTTGATAATGTTAACTCAGATCAAAAATCAAAGAAATTCAGATCAACATTTTTGATGGGATCGTTAATTTTGAATCTATTGCCCCTAGTTAGTTTGTGCTGTTGTTCATTTTGCTGATGTACTAGTGATTGTTAGTCTTAAACTTGCCATTGAATCATCAGAATACTTGAAATAAAATCATAAAATAAAAATGAACACATTGGCCACGAAAGGCGAAAACGGGTAACAAACAATCTCTTTCAACTTGTGTCTCTGCTGGTTTTACGGATATGAAAAACGTGTGCGATTTAAAGATTTCTCTGATCGACAGTTCTTCAGAAAATCGAGGTCAAAGTTGAAACTTCGATTGCCTTTTGTTCTGCTATGGCAGGTGATTTTTTCATAAAACTTAATAAACTGGTGCAACTTTTGATGAGCAACCTGGAGATGGTCTTATTCTGTAAAATAACCTTTTCTATTTCCGCGAAACATATCACATTCGAATTCCACTTAAACCGACCACATTTAGCAACCGTAAGAGTTTGAGAGCTGGAACTTTTCAACAGTCCATAAAAATTGCTGGTAGACATCACGGAGTAAATACTTTTGTCAATTTACTAACAGTTCGCTTGATTTTAACAATTGGCGTTAAAACTTTGCGCCTAAATATTTCGAGAATGGCATCACCTACAGCAATCGTTCTTTCACCAATGCAATTCTGCACCAATTAATAATCTAATGCAATTCAATAAACTTCTATTAGCGTATTTGTGTCATGATTTTTGAGGTTTAAATGCACGAGAAACAACTTATTAAACAAACTAAACTCATATTAACACATATCTTGGTGAATGCAGTAATTTTCTGGTTAAAATTATAAATGAAATACAAAGAATGCTGCCAAAGTCTCGAACATTTGATTAAAAAGTTGAGATTTGCTGGGGTATATAAAGATATGAAAACTGTGTCCCTAGGTGCAATTAAATAGTTCATACGATGGACAGTTTTCGAGAAAATCGAGGTCAAAGTTGAAACTTCGATCGACTTTTATTCAGTTATGGCAGCAAATTTTTTCATTAAACTTATTACCCTAATGTTACATTTGATGAGCAACCAGAAAATGATCTTATTTTGCGAAATAACTTTTTCTGTTTCTCCAGAACAGATCAGGTTTGAATTCCACTTAAACTGGCCGAATTCTGTGGCTGTTTGAGTTATCAAGCTGAAACTTATTATTAGTTCATAAAAATTGTTGGTAGCACACACATGGATTAAATAACTTCTCCCATCTGCTAAAGGTTCTCT